GAGAGGGCAGGCCCCGGGCAGGGGGATGTTTTGGCAGCTGGTGGCCACGCAGGGCCGGGAGGGGCAGCTGGAGCGACAGCTCAGATTGGGCAGGCAGCAGTTGTAAAGCATGGTGCTGGGAGGAAGTGAGGCACCCGGCTAAAGACAGAGTCCCAGTTCTCCAAAGACCTTATGGGTCTCCTTCCTCTGGGGAGCATTTATATCCCTCCACAGAGGGTGTGGACATAGTATGTAATGTCTTTCTTCTTTTTACATCTTCACTGCTTTTCAAATGCCCTTCTCTTCAGTCTGTTATTTGCCTTCCTCAGAAGAGTCTCTTGTCCCATAAAATCCTTTACTCGGGCTTTTTGCTAAGTCAGGACTCCTCTTCAGGCAATACACCCATGAAATCAGAGTTTGTGGTAGACCTTCAAGGAGGCCACACAGTCTAGCCCAAGTAACTGCTCTTGTTAATTGGGAGTTAGCCCATCCAATGACATTCCTTTGTGTCACGTGATCCTGTAAACCCATAATCAGACTCATCCCCTTGCCCACTTGGCATTTCTAGGGAGGGACTGGGATGGAGTCAGGGAAGAAGTTGTATGAAGTGGCAGCAGTGAATTTTCTTTCTGTTTGCTTTAAGAGAAGAATCCTCCAATACTGCAGCGCCTCAAGCCTTGGAAGCCTTGAGGTGAATAGGGACTGGTTTGGGCCGTGGCTGAGAAAGATGCTCCACAAGCATGAAAACCTTTGAAGGTAATCTTAAAGCTTCATGTGAATTGATCTTATATTCCATAATATACCCATGTTGAATTTAACATAAAAAAAATTGTTCCAAAATGATCGGGTAAACTGTCTAACATTTTGCCCAACTCTACATGAAATTGCTATCCCAGGGATATGTACTGATCCTGTGTTGGGCATCCCATCCTCAGCCTTAGCGTGTTCCGCATAACCTTTGGTTTAAGAACCAAAGGTAAAACATACCAAGGAGGGTTCTGTGGTCATGTGACTGAATCCAAGGACCTGGGCCCCAGGAGAGAAAATGCTGAGACACAGCATAAGCAGGGGACTTAACAAAGTAAGCTTGGAGTACATGGGGTTGGTTTCAGAGATGAAAGAAGGCACCAGAAGGTCTGGGGAGGCAGTGGCCAAAGTTCTGAATATATATATACACGTTGCATAATTATAGGCATCATTGGGTACCACTTGCATCTCTGGTAAGCAGCATCCCAACCTCCACTGTGGCTTTGGCTGCCAGCCAGAGCAGCAGTTTAATTGACAACTTATTGGAGTCCTTCTCCCCATTGAGCTTTCATGATAATATTCATGCGGCTTTCTGCTCAAGTCTCAGATAAAAGGTCCTTCCTCTACCCTGTCCAAGGCCATTATCGCCGCTTATTAAAATGCCATTAAGATTCCCCACCGTACTACGAAGGAGCCCCAGAGTTATAATAAAATCAAAATTTCTTTGTTTTTCTCCAAGGCAATTAAAGGGGGGAGAAATAGGTGGGTCCAGACTCTCCACAGGAAGGACGCAAGGCTGGGCAGTGGCAGTCAGGAGGAAGCTTCTGTCCCACTTCATCTGGGCTTGGGACAAATGGAAAGGCCTGTGAATCAGACTACTGAGCATTTGCTAATAGGAAACAGCATAGCATGGTCCTCCTGCCTCATGGCTCTTGTCAGCCTGCTCCAAAGCACTGGCTATTTTCTCAGTCGTGCCTTCCTTGCCACCTGGGGAGGTTTTCTTCTGAGCCAGACTAAATGCCAATAGCATCCTCTAAGCTCTTTGGTCTTATCTATTAACCGGCCAGTGTAACCTCATATAGGCTTTAGTCAAAGGAGAATGTTTAGGTTCTAACTATGAGAAGATTCAAGGACTGGGTTGACAAATAAGCCAAAATAGAATTTGCATACAATGCAGAGGAAATCAGAGCAATGGAGACAGATGGAAACTGGGGGAGGTGTGTTTAAAAAGAGACAAGAGCTTAAAGAAGCAAGGAGGAAACCTGGAAGGAATAATCTGAACCACCTGGGGCCACGTGGATCAGAAAAGCGAGCTCATCTTCACGTGAGTGAACCTGGAGGATGCAAAGCTAAGAAGTAGCCAAGACAACCTAAATTGATGGACAGAAGAATGGCCCACCCTGCTGAGTGTCCGACAAGATGTAAGTGGGGATGACTCAGAAAAGATCTACAGACACAGGACCACAGCTGCTGAGGCCTCTGAAAGAACTGACGTTGGTCCACAGTGTCCAGACCAGAGCGTCACTTCCATGATCCAGTGTGAGATTTCTTTGTGGCCAAGAAATACACCATTGCCTATACCCAGGCAGCATAAAGTCAAAAGGAGAGCAAGGCTACCTGTTCCTGAACAAATAAGGAATGTGGAGAGTTAAAGGAAGAAAAACCAGAGGAAGTCAGACCTGCACTGGCTTCAGGTCATGGCCAACCGCAGCCACACAGAAGATGTGGGAAACGACAGGTTACCCCTGATACCTGGAAGTTCCTTTTTTCCCTGAAGAAGGGGAAATGGCACAAGAATTCAAGATGGAGATGGCAGATGGACTGGCTGGTGAGTAAACATAACGCCTCTTTCTTGCAGTGTTTTCAAAATATCAGTTGGCTCGAGTGAATTTGCCTCTGGAATTCATGGAGAAAATGGCACTCGCGTTATAAGTTCTCCATGGCATCCCACAGGTTAGGAGTAGAACGTATGTACTCTCGTGATTTCCTAATTGAAATAGCTGCAAATTTTATTCATTCAGAGAGAAACTGAGCAGTCAGTGGACTATCAAACCCACTTTCGTTTTCAGTTTAGTTTTATTCAAAACGCATTAATTGCTGGGCATGGAACTAAAGTGAAAACTAAGAATCATCATTCTGGTAGAGCATTATCTTTTTATGAACAATTCAGGTTAATCCAGGTCCCTGAAGTATTTGAGAAGTAATAAGAAGGTAGGGAGGTGAGATATTTAAAAAGTGTGAGATGGACATTAGAAATAGGTTTGTGATTAATGTAATTAGAAGACTGTATGAATGGCATTTAAAAACACAATCATTTGTTGAATATCTACCAATTGCCTAGTATATTACCAAGGCTGGGGACAGAGGGACAGGGGATGGTAGGGAGATGACATGCCCCTGCCCCCTACAAGCCCTCAGTCCTACTGAGCAGACAGACCGATCTACAACTAACTCTAACGTAATGTAAAATAATTGGACCCTTTATCCCCAAAAGTTTCTTCCTTCTCCCTTCCACTTCTTTCCATGCCTATTCCTGTCCCAAACCCTAGTCAGGGCATTTCATCCCAGTTTATGATTCTCAGCCAGAGGATGAGGGAGAGGGATGAGGCTGTTTCAGATAATTTACCTGTATCCCAAAGGAGATATGTCGGTGACCCCACCCACTAAGTGACTCAGAGGTAGGATTCAAACAACGGATCTCATTAGAATCTCAATCCATTTAAGAATCTTTGCTTCAGCAAGGCCTGGTAATTCATTGTTTTGATATTCGGTTCTCGTTGTTTGGAAGATTACAGGGTGGTAGTGGTTGGTGATTCCCCATCGCTTCAGCCCTGAGGCATCCCCATCTGTGGGCACCAAAATGAGTTTCAAAGCAGGTGAAAGAGGCTCTCAGAGACGTGGCTGGGACAGAGGAAAGAAAAGAGGCAAAACCAATCAAGTCAAAGAGGAAATAGAAAAGGGAATGAGATTAGTAGAGAGAAATGAAGGTGACATCTGCTGGTGAGCAGACACAATGCTGCCACCCTCAGGGGAAGAGTCCAATTGTGGGGTGGAGGCATTTTGGCGGAGGGATTTGGAGGCCAGTGTGAATGACTGAGGCACATGTTAAGGATATCCGACAACCAGGAAGGAAGCAGGGGGAAGGAGGCAAGAAAGATTTGGGTACAAAAACCAGCATAAAGGGAGAGCCTCAGCTGAAGGAGGCCAGGAGACAGCCAAAGGTCAGAAGCTCAGTCTGAATGTGGTTGGGTAGGGAGGACATTGCAGGGTGGGATAAAACATGAGGAAGATGATCCTTGGGGAGAGTCCCAGGCCCTGTAATACCTTTGCCCTCAGCCACCCTTCCCCTCACCCTCCAGCATTGATTATGGGTCTGAACGTGAAGTGTTATCCAAAAAGTGCTTTGTAAATGGTAAAATGATAAACATATGTAAGGACTTCTGACTATTTCTCCTCTCTTCCTCAATAGCCAAAGTGGTTTTAATGGCAGGGAATGGGTTGATCTTCTTTGGTGATTCCCAGATATTAAAATTGCCGAGGTCCTCAAGCTATTTTGAGAACTTTCATTCCTTGTATCACCTTTTGTGGCAAAGAGTCTCAGAAATAGTTGCTCTAGCATAAACATTCTCGTTTCCTTCAAGGAAAAGGAATCAAAACATTAGGGTAATTAAGGTTCTGTCATCCTGCTGACACAATCTGAGACTTGGCCTCTGTAAAGCACAGAGGTTAAGAGCATAGTTGCTAGAGGCAGACTGCCTGGATTTGAATCCTGGCTTCACCATCTAGTTGCTGAGTGATCTTGGACATGTTACTTAACCTCTCTGAGCCTCAGTTTCTCATCTGCAAAATGAGGATAACAAAAGCATTGGCTTCATAGAATTGCTGTAAGGATTAAATAAGTGTATGTATATAAACTTATCTATAACTTAGACCAGTGCCTGGCTTGTAGTAAGAGCTCAGTGAGTGTGAGCTTTGATTACAGTGATGATGATGAAGATATGTGGTGATGATGGTGATGATGGTGATGGTGATGGTGATGATAATGATGATGATGATGATGGAGGAAACGATGATTGTGGCATTGGTGATGATAGTAATGATGGTAATGATGGGCTGTTTGGTTTCCAGGGAAGCTCTTCACACCTTTCCAAGCATAATGATCCCCTCTATCCAGCATTTTTTCCCAGGAACCCAAACCACTTCACACACGTACACATACACAAACAATGTCTCATCAAAGCTAATCTTTCAATTATAAATGACAGGACATTGGATGTGAACTTAAGAAATATGGGTCAATCACCCTCGGGCTCCATTGACTCATTTTGCCTCACCAAAAGAATCCCTCAGCCACTGAATGACTCACCTTCTCTCCCTCTCCTTAAATGGGAAGAACGATTCTTGCCTACTCTGTCATAGTACAAGAATAAATGGGTTTATTTTGTGAGACAGCTTTGAACTTGTTAAATGAAAGGAGCTATTTAAGTACAAAGAAGAAGGTGAAGGTGTTTGGGCCAGGTGCTAAATTAAGACTAATCAAGATTGTTCTTTCTTATTGGGACTTAATCTTGGTTAAGTAACTCAGGGGCGTGTTACCTGTGCCCAAACACCTCCACCACTTGGGAAAAAGAGCAGAAGCACAGTGGAGGAGAGGGAGGGTGTGAGAGCCTCTGATCCTTCCAGAGCCTCCCTCAGGGGGAGTCCTGATGCCTCCTAAGCAAATCAGTTCTGTCTACACAGACAATGGCCAACAGGTAAGATTGTGGGCTTGAGTGCAGTTGGAGGCAGAGCATCCAGGTGCTGGCTTTGCTCCCTCTACCCCTGGGGCTTGGAACTGTGGTCAGTTCTGCACCAAGACTGGCTGGATTCAACAACCATCAGCTGAGACATTTTGTAAATTGTAAATGTCTCAGTGAGCTACTTTGATTTAGGGGTTCACAGAGCAGAGAAGGAGTCGGTTTGTTGGCTCCACTTTAACCTTTGTGGTTTCACTGACAAATAAGACCTAGAAAGCAAGGACTCATAGAATCTGGGGGCTAGAAGACCCTCTATAATCATCTCATCCAGGCCCATCAGATGCTTGAGTCTCCACCTCAACATCTCTACAAGGTAGTTGCAAAGGCCCTGCTTGAATATCTCCAGTGATGGGGAACTCACTGCCTCCTGTCTATGGCCAGTTGCAATTCTGCTTTCTGGAGATATTCTCAGCCATGGCTGCCTAAATATGGAGCTTCTGGTCCATTTGTTTATTGTCTGCAACTTTTAAGCCTGGCAGCTGCCAGAAGGCCTTGTCAGTGGAGCCTGTGGGGAGGCTTAAGTGGATCAGTTTGATTGACCCTTTTCAGATTGATAGCTCAGCAATCACCAACATGTAACATGTCCAGAGTTTTGCAACGTGCCAGGGAAAGGTGCTATCTTGATGTTCTGAAGGATTCCCCACCCATGGGAACAGTCAGGAGAGCAAGGCCAACCCCTTCTGCAGAGTGTCTGGCCAGTCGGGGGCTCACTCCCCAAATAAACTTTGTAACCCAGTGACTCTCATATTTGAGAGTACATCAAATCATCTGAAAGTCTTGCTAAACCAGACTACCAACTCAGAAAGTCTGGGGTGGAGCTCAAGAATCGGAATTTTCAACAAACTCCCAGGTGATGCTGGGAGGCCCACAATTTAAGAACCACCACCCTAAACCTTCTCATGTTTAATTTTTTTTTTCCCCTTCAAAGCTTTCAACATATGGACTTTGGATCTAGTTCAAAGAGGCTGAGGTTCAAGCTTTGACTCAGCCACCAGCTGAGAATAATAACAGCCACTCCCTCTTTGCAAGGGTTTCTGTGGGACCGTGGTCACAATGTCTGTAAAGCCCAGCACAGGTCTTTGCTCATAAAGGGCATGTGATCACAAAAACTTACTTTACATAGAGTACTCTAGGGAGACCCAGCAGAACCTCTGGCTGGAGCTTTTCCTTTGCACGAGGACCAAGTGGCCTCATCCAGATAAAAGCGGGGGTTTTATTTAGTGTCTGTATTTTTAAAGCTCTGTGAATCTGATTTCTAATAAGGTGTGGTCAGGTCAAGAGCCAGCTATCTATCTCTCACCTGTCACATTTTGCTGCAGTCCCATTTTAACCCCGGTCGCGTCTGGCTGGGCAATCTCCCAGAACCACTCTGGTGAGTGATCCACAATCCCTCCTTCTATGGAAAGGCTGGCTCAAGGAGCTCCCAGCAATGCTCTCGGCACAGGATGGAGAAACTGAGACCAGCACGCATCGGGCTCCTTATGCTGCAGAAGTGAAGTTTATTAGCAAAATAAAAACAAGTTTACCTGCCACATCTCAAGGAGACCAGAAGGCAAGGGAAAAGAGAAAATAGAAGAGAGAAAAGGAAGCACAAATCCAGGGGCTGGAGCTGAGCTGCCAGATCAGAAAACCCAACAGAGAAGCACTGCCTGGCTTCAGCCTCCCCAGGCTGGCTGAGGAAGTAGGGCTCAGACGGCAGGCCTGGTGGAGCCAAGGAGCTGTGATGCTTCCCATCATTCAGCACCTTGGGCTGAGGAATACGTCAGCATTGAGGTGATGAGCAGGGCCCACAGGAGGCCCAAGGAGGCCTGGAAAGGCAGGAAGAGCAGGAGGTACAGGCTGCAGGGGCTGGACCAAGGGTGCTGGAGGCTGGGGTCGCACATGGGTTGCAGGGAAGCCTGCAGAGAGAGAGAGAAAAAAAAAGTGTTTTTAACAGTGGCATCAGAAGTGCCTGAAAGACAAAAGCATGTAGACACTTTAGACTTAGAAGAGCAAACAGAGTTTTAGAGCTTAGCGGTCCCTCTATGCCTAGAAATGGTCAGTGACTTGCCCACAGGCCACAGGGAAGCTGTGGCCTTAGCTCAGCACACACATACGCAAAACCAGTGTTACCTTCCATATGGAAAGGCACACAGCCAAGAGAAAGGCAGAAAGGCTGACGGAGTGAAATAAGGCCAGATGTCAGCCACGCTCTTAATTTAAACACAGCCCCCTAATCTTGTTCCTTATTGCTTAAAGGGGTATAGTATCCATCTTACCTTTTTCACAGCCTATTGAGGAACTAAATAAGAGAATAGGCGCACATGCCCTGTGCATTACTTTTAAATGCTGAGTTTCAAGATCCCAGCTACCAAAGTATTTCTTCCAGAGAGGATTTAGCAAAACTCACATGCACTGAGCTCTCTGTATTGTAGCCCCTGTGGGAGCGACTAGCATCTGGCAGACTAACGTGGTCAGCATAATGGACAGCATGAGCTGAAAAACTCCTGCACACCCTTCTCTACGTCCGGGCAGCTTGCCAGGCTTCCTGGGTGACAAGTTTGTCCCCAAAGATTGGATCTATAATGCCAGCCCTTCCTTTTAGGTCATTGCCAATAAAAGGTGTCTGCTTTTACACATGACATTGACACAGACATCAGAGGACATACTTGCAGTCCTCACTCTCCAGAAGCTTCTGGTACGTGCTGATCTCGCCCTCCAGCCGGACCCGGACGTCCAGCAGCACCTGGTACTCCTGGTTCTGCCGCTCCAGGTCAGCCCGGATCTCAGACAGCTGTTCCTCCACGGTGCTGATCAGGCTCTGCATCTGGGCCAGCTCGGTGCCATAACGGGCCTCAGCCTCACACAGGGAGTTCTGCAGGCAGTCCTTCTGTGATGCCAAAGAAAATGGAGGGCAGGTTAAAAACCATGGACCCCTGCCCTCGGGCTCTTCAGTCAGACCGTGACACCCCAAGGCATTGCCGGGCCCAGTGAACAATCTAGCTCCCGTTCTCCAGCTGGAAGAACTGGCAACATGCTATAAACCTTAGGATATGTTTGCAAAGTCTCCCTCATCTGAGTTAATGATCATTCCTCAGCATCCACATTTATGAGAATGTTCAACGCAACAGAGGTGAGGCCAAGGTTTAAGCTGTGTCCTGATCTGTGTATAGGGGAGGCATGTACTAAATGAGGAGCTGCTCATAGGAGTAGCTGCCAAGCTGAATCACAGTTCCATGCATGCGAGGGAGCTCACCAGTGTGTGCTGAGCCTGAAGCTCCACCTCCAGGGCGTTCACTGTGCGTCTGAGCTCCAGGATCTCTGACTGGCAGCACTGCAGCTCCTCGGAGCAGGACGTGGCCTGCAGGCTGATGCCCTCAGACTGAAGCACAAGTGCACAGAGACACGATCACCTCCCGGCCAGATGGAAGCTGGGCTCCCCCCGCTCTGCAGCACCGCCTCACCTGAGCTTCGAACCACTGCTCCACATCGCGGCGGTTGGTCTCCACCATGGCCTCGTACTGGCACCGCATCGCCTCCAGCACACTGTTCAGGTCCACGGTGGGCTCAGTGTCCAGCTCGATCCGGAGCCTGTCCCCCAGCTGGCACTGCAGAGTGTGGACTTCCTACAGGCATAGGAGGAGGATGTCCCATTCCTGGGCCTCCACTGCCCTCCACCCAAAGCCTCACCTCCCACTTCCTACCCTCCCCAGCTCCTATGTGGGTGAAGAATGTGCTCCCAAGGGGGCCGCAGCTCCCTTTCATGGCTTGTGAGGTTAAACTATGAGCCAGGATCTGCAGAGCTTCCATCCCCAGCAGGAAGAAGAGCCTTATTTCTTCCCCAAAACGAGCCTGAATTCAACCCCCAGAAGTCTCCATGTGTCACACAAAGGACCCCACACCTGCTCGTGATTCTTCTTAAGGCAGAGCAGCTCCTCCTTCAGGGACTCCAGCTGAGCCTCTAGGTCACACTTGGCAAGTGTGAGGTCATCCAGTACCTTGCGCAGGCCACAGATGTCGGCCTCCACCAGCTGGCGGAGCGAGTGTTCTGTCTGGTACCTTTACCAGGGCAGGTACAGGAATCAAGTTTGGAGAGCAGAAGGGGCCCCAGGACACAACTTACAGCCATAAAACCACTGGCTTCCCTCTGCAGCCTAATCGTGAGTTGGCATTTCCTGTGTAGTGCACTCATAGCCAGAAAGCAACAGGGTATCCCCCACCCATTCAACACTAAGCACCTAGGATGAACCAGGCAGAGTGGCCAGTACTGAGGACATAGGGATAGACGCATGGCCAGTGCCTGCCCTCTCGGGCTGCTGGCCAAAGGGGTAGCGGGGCAGCAGAGTACTCAGGCCATTGCAATGCAGTGCGATCACTGCAGACTCTCTTCTGCTGAGATGGACCTTGGTGTCTCCCTCAGATTAGAAGCCAGACTGCCAGAATGGAAGGGAGAAAATAGCTTTCTTTAGCTCTAGAGGAATGAGGCTTCCATGGCGCCCTGAAGAAAGACAGTAAAGCTCAATGCCCCTTCCTGACCCTGGGTCCGACCTTCTCAGGCGGTATGAACTCTCTGACCGTCACACGCCTCCACGGCAGGCTGTGAAGCGTGACTCCCATCATGAATCATCAGCGCTCACAAATTGGAGGAGCTGCAGTATGGAAACATATCCTCACTGAGGCAGCAGAGTTTCGTATTTAATGGCCTCCGGGTAAGAAGTTGAGGGCCAAGTTCCAGTTCTATCACTCAGTAGCCACGTTACTTCTGGCAAGTCCCTTCAGTGCTCTGAGTCTCGGTGTCCTCACAAAGTCGATGCCATCACTGCCCTGCCTGCCTCACGAGGTTCTTCTTACAACAGAATCAAGTAGGTGATTCTAAATCCTGTTGTAAATTAAACAATTTACAAAAATTTACAATTTACAATTTACAAAAGCTAAACAATTGCGAGGAAGTTCCAAGATCTTGGGCTTAATGCCCTTCATTTCCTCCTGCTGGAACTGTTGGTTTGAGTCTTAGTCAATTACATCTCTGATGCCAACCGCCTTATAACAGAGAAGAAGCCATGAGAGGCATCTGGCTCCTCCCCCTCCCCATCCTATCCCAACTCACTTGGTCCTGAAGTCATCTGCAGCCAGTTTGGCATTGTCCATTTGCACAACCAGCCTGCTTTTCTCTGACTTGATGCACAGAATCTGGGGAAAGGAAGTAGGCTCCGTGATTCACCGTCCTCGGATCGTCTATGGCCTCAGGTTACGAAAGCTAAACAATTGCGAGGGAGTTCCAAGATCTTGGGCTTAATGCCCTTCATCTTCTCCTGCTGGAACTGTTGGTTTGAGTCTTAGTCAATTACATCTCTGATGCCAACCGCCTTATAACAGAGAAGAAGCCATGAGAGGCATCTGGCTCCTCCCCCTCCCCATCCTATCCCAACTCACTTGGTCCTGAAGTCATCTGCAGCCAGTTTGGCATTGTCCATTTGCACAACCAGCCTGCTTTTCTCTGATTTGATGCACAGAATCTGGGGAAAGAAAGTAGGCTCCGTGATTCACTGTCCTGGGATCCGTCTATGGCCTCAGATCAAAGGAAGTTCTGTTTTCTGGGGTTTGAACTGCAACATCCCCTTGGACAACACGAACTCCCAAACATGGGTGGTACAGGAAGTGGGGTGTGTGAGAGGGTGCTTGGCTAAGGGTGAAGCTGGAGGGACTGGGAGACGAAAGGTAGTAGTAAACCAAACATAGAACAAACTTAATTTCATTTTGCCAGATGTGATGCTTAGCCTGGAGGCAGCAGAGTACTCAGGAAATTGCAATGCAGAGCGATCCTTGCAAACCCTTACAAGGAGATCTGGAGTCTAGACCAGAGAACAATGGCTGGTTATGAAAGTTTTAGATAAGGCAGGATCCATTCCTCATAAGAAACCCTTTAGGCTGGTTGCTCCACCTCCCCAAAGGTCTTCTCTGAATCTAGCCAGATCTCGGTGGCCCCTCTTCCGGCATTCTTTGTCTTTCTGTCTCCACAACAAAGATATAGGTTTTTTAAGAAGCACTGACTTGATCAACAAAGGGGACAGCAGTTATGCAGAAGAGGCAAATGCTACTGAATGGATACACACTGTCTTTTAAAGGACATTAGAGCACACTCCTGCACCAGAAGTTTGGCTGCACTGTTTTTGAGAATTGTAATTTAAGAATTGTAAGTACTAAAACTGAGAAAGCATAAACTCAGAAGCCTGGACAGTCAAATTCCTTTACACATCCCCATTCACTCCTGAGATTCTTTTCTCACAATCAAAAGAACATTTCGGCTGTGGCGATTTCCAGTGCCAATCCAGACCCTGAACTTTTAGTGCAAGGTCCAGGAACCTTGTTCTGTAAAGGGCCAAATAGTAAATATTTTAGGCTTTGCAGACCACACGTCTCTGCCACAACTCCTCAACTCTGCCATTATAGCACAAAGGCAGCCATAGACAATACATCAATAAATGAGCATGGCCGTGTACCAGTAAAACTTTATTTACAAGATCAGGCAGCAGGCCGAATTTGGCCCGTGGGCTGTAGTCTGCCAACCCCTGAGCTAGAGCACCACACACCTCACCTTCTGCTGGAGCTCCTCGATGCTCCGGAAGTAGCTCTGGTAGTCCGGGCACACGGTGGACTCGTGGCATTTGCTCCACTCTCGGATCTTGGTCTCCAGCTCCGCGTTGTCTCGCTCCAGCTGGCGCACCTTCTCCAGGTAGTTGGCCAGGCGGTCGTTCAGGAACTGCATGGTCACCTTCTCGTGGCCGTTCAGGCTGCCTTCACCGTAGGTCCCACAGATTCCGATGTTGCCGGGAACGTGGCAGGTCCCTGGCAAGGGGCACGCGGTGTTGCAGCTGGGGGGCAGACAGAGGCTGGGTCGGCCCAGAGGGGTCGTCCCCACACGGACTCGGCTGGTGTGCGCCACGGTGGCCGAGAGGTCCGGGGAGGCAGCCTTGGCCTCTGAAACCTGGCCGGTGAAGAGAGAGCTGCAGCCGTCGGAAGTCATGGTGCGAAAAGGCCAGACTCCTGCTTTGTCGACAGTTGGATTTGCTTGAACCTGAAATCTTCCTTCTCTTCTAGACCTTATATAGGTTTGTAGTGGGAGTTGGTACAAGAAAACTGGCATTTTCCTCATGAATATTTATGTCGATTGTTGTACAATCACTCGGTTAGTCAGTGATTTTGTCTCCTATAAAGAGTTAATGAGGTCCATGAAAGAGGCCCAACCCACACGGGATGCTTCTCATCACGGCAGAGTCTTAGAAAACAGAGAAAAAGAGGTCTTCTTTGAGCTTCTGGGGCTATGAATTCCTTCTCCTCTGCTGCCTTATGTCTGTGAAATAATCAAGAACCAGAGACTCCTACATTTTCCTCAAAGTCTCTGTCGTTCCTATAGTCTTTTCTTACCTTAGAATATTTCCATCATGACAAAGGCTGAAATATTAGTCAATCAGGCACATGGAAAAACAGAAAAATCACAGTTAGTTTGTTTCTGCAGGTAAGTATGGAGGGCCCAGGCTGGGACATTGCTCGGCCTGCCTAGATTTTAGTAAGAAAGCTAGGAAAGGAAATTGCCTTGACATTATAAAGGTAATAACAGGGGGTGTTTAAAAATTTTTTTAATAAAAGAACTGTGAGGATTTTAAGTAGAAGAGAGAATATTGAGAGACCAGAAAAAGACTTCACAGAATAAGTAGCATTTAAAATGTGTTTTGAGTGACGGTTTCCATGAAGGATTGGAGGAGAGAGTGTCTCTGACAGAGAACAAAATGAACAGAATCAAACACGTTTGGGATATGGAAAAGACTAGCTGTGTGAGTGCTTATAATGAAGACATGGATTCCAGCCCTGGAAAGCTGTGTTTAGTCCAGGTTGTGAGAAGCCTTGAATGCCAGGACCATGCCATACGGAGTCGTCAGGTAAAGGCGAGTCAAAGATAAGGATATGCCCTTGGAAGCTGACTTTCCTCAAATATGAGAAAAAAATAGCCAAGTTCCTCTTGAAGGAATGTAACAGAAAAGAGATGGAAGTCTCCTGTATAAATATTGGGGGAAAACACTAGGCCAGAACAATGAAAGAAAAACCTAAATTTGGTGTTTGAAAACTGAATGATAACACTAGGCCAGAACAATGAAAGAAAAACCTAAATGCCAAATCGATTTTGGTGTTTGAAAACTGAATGACACACTTTTCAATAACCCATGGGTCAAAGAAGAAATAAATCAAATGAGAAATTAAAGTTATTTTGAACGGAATTAAAATGAAAATACAACGTATCAAACTGATTCGGGCAATTAAGACTCTCCCTGTGCAAGTGTGAAACTGATAAGCCATTTGGAAAGTGGGAGAAAAAACTCGGGAATGAAACTGGGTGATGTGTGATTCCCAAAAAATAAAATCGTGTTCCTGTGTACGGCAGTCTACAACCTAAGGTGGGTAGCGATTCATACTTTAGGGTATCTATTCTCAAGGGCCTCTCCATCCCTTCTGGGCATCTGTCTTTGTTAGACACTGATCCACTCACCGACCGAGTCCCTCCTTATTTTAAAGATACACACTCAAGAACTTTGATCTTTCATCTTTTGAAACTTCTTGCATTTCTTTGAAATGCACCTACCTTGATCGTCCATTACTGAGGAGACTCTAGGACAAAATTTAAATTTCCTTAATCTTCAGACACAGTCAGAACATCAGAAGCTTTATGGCCGCCTCTATTCCTAAAACAAAGAAGCCAGTGACAGGTTATTCAATAAGCCCTGGAAAAAGGCAGCCAGCCAGCTTCCAGGATATGCTAACGAAGACGCTGCTTTGACCCCATTTCTAAGATGAATGAACTCACCAAGAGGGCCCTTGAAGCAACAGTCCATGTTTTAGCTGGCTCCGAAACATGGAATCTCCAGTCCAAAAGCGATCTCAAAGTCCTCCGGTCTAGGACCCTTAGGCATTAAATCCCTGCGGATAATCTCCAATTAGTTGTCCAGTCCACCATTTTCCAGAATGGCCTACCCCATCGTTGGCCAGCTTGGCCCTTGTGGCTCACAGTACCCCAGGCTTTGTGTAAGACACTGGAATCAAGAGATAAATAACGTCTATCTCAGTCTTTAGGGACCTACAACATAGGGGATTGTTAGAAAGTTCTCTATGCAGAGACAAATCTACCTCCCTGCTATTTCTGCCTATTGTTTTCATTTGTTCATTCATTCATTCATTCAACAAATGTTTATTGAGTACCTACTCTGTGCCGAGCAGGAACTGGTGCTGGACGCTGGTGAAACACTAGCAAGTAAGTCAGAGAGTTGTCCTTCAGTTAATTTACTTTCTAGTTCGAACCATGGGGTGCCAGGAATGATAAATCCAGTCATTCTGCCTCATGGCAGAACTTCAACTCTTTGTGACAGCTATGTGATTTCTCATTTCTGGTTTTCCGCTTAGCGTGGTTCTAAGTCCTCCTGCCATCCTGAGTATGTTCCTCTGAATATTCTCCATGTCATTCCTATCACCCTTAAACAGAGGCCCTAGAATAGAATTTCTGATGCGTTTGGGCTAAGAGGCTGCCGGTGGATGTGTACAGAAGTGTACAGACGTGGGCAATATTCACCAAGGCAGGGTTTACTGCCGTCATTGACCTTATCACTCTGACCTACTCCAAATGATCCATTATTCATGAGCTCCTGCCACAGCAATGCCCTCTCAAGGCACCAAGGAGGACCGAGATGAATCAGAGAAATTCCCACTTCTCAAAAAATTGAGAGCAGTAGAGATAGGTCATGTAACTCAGAGGAAGGAGAGGTCACAGAGCACTAGGGGTATAGAGTATCAAAGAGACTTGATCTAAAACTTTAAAGTTAGGCAGGAAGAGGCTCTTGCAAGAACCTTGGCCACATGTCATGGAAACCAAATCAAGGCCCCAGCAGTGCCAACAGGAAGGAAGGGATAAAGGACAGAGATGTTACAGAAGGACTCTACAGAAAGGCTCTATAAGGCTGAGCGGTTTGCTGTATGTGGGGATCAAAGAGGGAAAGGTTACCAAAAGTCACCCCTGGGTTCCTGGGGCAATAATGTGGTGCGAAGGAAAGCTGGGAAGTCAAGGCAAAGTGCTGGCTCAAGGGAGAGGAGTTAAATTCAAACTTGGAGAGTATGAAGTATAGTGAGTGGGGCTGCCCACCAGTGCGTCAAGGAGAAACACCTGGAGCCAGGAGAGAGTACCCTGGGCTGTTTGGACACGTGAGAAACTCTCCTGGGCTGCTAAAGTGTCTTGTACCTGGCAGGCAGGTAGAGGGGCTGAGTTGGACCAAGGGCTCAAACCTGAACAGGAGCAGCAATTCTCGGTGGGAGAGTCCCCTCCCCCTGCTAGAGGGGAGGTGGCATTTGTAATCTCCAAAACAGGTGGCGCGGAAGATATTTTGGTTAGAGTGTCATTTAAAAACAAGCGCAATCTGTATTCTAAACGAGCTGTCTTTTAGTCGCGATATGAGACTGGTAGTTATATTTTTGAAAG